GGTTTTGTGATAGGTTCAGAGTTTAGGGTTTATAGGGTTTCGGGTTTGGGTTTAGGGTTTACATTACAGGGTTTAGGGTTTAGGGTTTAGGGTTTTGTGACAGGATTAGGGTTTAGGGTTTGTAGGGTTTAAGACTTCGGGATTAGGGTTTTGTGATAGGATTAAGGTCTTGGGTTTAGGGTTTAGGGTTCAGGGTTTAGGGTTTAGGGCTTAGGGCTTTGGGTTTAGGGTTTAGGGTTTAGGGTGTAAGGCTTAGTAAAACTCTACTATACAAAAAAACTATACTCAGCGATTCTACACTAAATGATACGGTACTTCACTACGCTATGCTATACTTTTCTACACGAAAAGATAGTATTACATACTATACTATACTACACTACAAGTACTACAGCGAGAGGTTGTAACAGCAAAGGTTTACGTAAGATAAATGCCAGGATGTGGTTATAGTAGACTTTTCATAAGGAACCCTGAATATACTATAGTCTAGGAACCCTAATGAAGGTCTCTGGCGCTAAGAGCACGGCTCAGCGAACTTGTGTGGAGCAGCTGTTCAAAAACCTGTGCGGCACCCATCCAAAGCCCAAAGAAAGCAGGACCGATGCTGCATGTACTCACATGCTCAAGCGCTCCTCTATGAGGATTTCCCGTGAAGACACGATGCCCTGAGCAAGGCAACATGAGAAGCCACGCACATCTCCTTGCGATGTCCACTTGACAGCGCACCACTATGCGCGCAATCTCGTTGGAGGACAGGAAGAGTCTCTGCAACCTCAGTGAAACAAGCGTGGCAAAGTGGATGGCACCGCCTTGGTTCCTACAACCTTCCTCCTGTTAGTTGCTGCATGCATCGGGCAACGATTTCACTATTCACGGTGTGATGCCTTCCCAGCTGGAAAGGACGACGGAGAGCCTAAACCTAAACCCCAAACCTGAAACCCTGAACCCTAACCTAAACCCTCAACCCTAAATCCTCAACCCTAAACCCTAAACCCTCAACCCTCAACCCTAAACCCTAAGCCCTAAACCCTAGGCCCTGAACCCAAAACCCAAAGCCCAAAGCCCTAAACCCTAAACCCTGAACTCTGAACCAGAAGACGTGACACCTCCGTTCGACTGGGCCGAATTTCGCTCCTGAGTTAGAGGAAGCTACAGGTGGGGAGTTTAGGGTTTAGGGTTTTAGGGTATAGGGTTTAGGGTTTAGGGTTTAGGAACCTACAGGTGGAGAGTTTAGGGTATATAAGGCTTCTAGAAGGCTTCTATAAGGTATATAGACCTTCTATAAGGCTCCTATAACGGTAACTACCCACCTGAAAATGTCCTAGACTGAGGCGGGAACTTGGAGGCGAGCAGTCGCGTGGCGAGCACGTGCAAGGTCTCATGGTGGTCGACAGAAACGACCTGTCATGGGTTAGGGTTTAGGGTTTAGGGTTTAGGGTTCAGGGTTTAGGTTTCAGGGCTTAGGTTTCAGGGTTTAGGGTTTAGGGTTTAGGGACAGAAACTACCTGCGACGAAAAGAGCGGGTTGTAGGGTTTAGGTTAGGGATGTCAAGCGCTTAGGATGTCAGTTTGATTTGGGGCTTAGGGTTTAGGGTTTAGGGCTTCTTGGGGTTTGAGTTTATGATTTGGGGTTTAGAGTTTAGGGTTTCCTAGGGTTTGAGTTTATGATTTGGGGTCATGTGATTGTGGACATTCAGACTGTGAAGTCATGTGAAGCAATGCCGACACCCCTCGCCGTTTGAGACTTTACCTCAGTTCAGCGAATCACCCTAACCCCCGAACCCTGAAAAGCCTAAAGCCCAAACCCTTAACCCGATAAGCCCTACCCTAAACCCTAAACCCTAGAATCCTAAACCCTAAACCTAAACCCTAAACCCTATAAGCCCTACCCTAACCCCTGAACCCTAAACCCCAAAGCCCCGAAAAACCCGACGCCCTCAGTCTCGGGCGTTGAATCTCCGTAGACTCTGGTACCGAACCATCTTCGCAGAATCGACAGCCACCACCTCGGCAACGGTTTAGGGTTTAGGGTTTAGGGGTTTAGGGTTTAGGGTTTCGGGTTTCAGGCTTGAGGGATTTAGGGTTTAGGGTTTAGGGGTTTAGGGGTTTAGGGTTTAGGGAGGCCTTTTCACCCAAGCTCCGAAACAGCAACTCGGGCCCCGGACGCGCTGTCGCCAGCACAAAAAGTCATCGATGCTATAGTCCAGCACATGATACCTCACTTGGAGAATACGCTGCAAGTAAGGCTGTGAGTACCTTTACAATTATAAGTATCGTTATTTGAGTTATGACCCTAGTCACTAAGCAGGATCCTCGAAGAACCCTAAGCCCTGCTCATAGACCCCCTTCTAGATCCCATATAGCAACCATTTAAGGAACCACCCTAAATCCTAAACCCCTAAACCCTAAACCCTAAACCCCAAACCCCTAAACCCCTAAACCCTAAGCCCTAAACCTAAACCCTCAACCCTAAAAACCATAAACCCCCACCCTTAAAACCCTAAACCCCAAAACCCTACACCCTAAATGCGCTAAACCCTGAGCCCTAAACCCCAAACTCCTAAACTTAAATCCTGAATCCTCAACCCTAAGCCTAAGCCCTATAAACCCCAAACCCTCAACCCTTCGGCGCTCTACCACAGACACCTCTGAGTCTCTGAGGGTCCAACTCGTCGGACTCGAAGACCTGGCACGGTGGCGTCAGATTCAAAGATTGAAACCTTGAGGGTTTTTAGGGTTTAGGGTTNNGGTTGAAGGTTTAGGGTTTTAGGGTTGAGGGGTTTAGGTACAAGGAGTAGGGGTTTAGGGTTTAGGTTTAGGGATTTAGATACAAGGAGTAGCTGTTTAGGGTTGAGGGTTTAGGGTTGAGGGCTTAGATACAAGGAGTAAGGGTTTAGGGTTGAGGGTGTAGGGCTTAGTGTTTATGAGTTTGGGGTTTAGGGTTTAGGATTTTGGGGGCTTTTTGGGCAAGCTTGGCCGGCATCACCAGCTTGAGGTCCGCAACTGCAACGACACCAACGGCGACCGCGCCGCCCATGTCTCCAGAAAGTTCTTGAGAGGTCGCTGGGCCTCTGAAAGAGGGTTTAGGGTTTAGGGTTTAGGGTTTAGGGTTTAGGAAGCCCTAAACCCTAAACCCTAAACCCTAAACCCTAAACCCAAAGAAGACAACAGAAGCAAACTTGCACCTTACGAAGATTGCAAGTTCGAGGCACTTGGCGGGCCCCATGGGGGTTTCCGAAAATGGGGGACCCCCTTAGTATAGTACCCTAAATAGTAGGATCCTTATCATAAGGAGCCCAAAATAAGGCCCCCACATATTGTGAGCTTCTCCGCATCCATGATTTGCCTGTGCTGTGCTTGGAAACCGCAAATGGGGCGGGAGTGATGCTCGAAATCGGATTGACACTTGTGGAAAACCCTCAACCCCAGATCCTAAACCCTAAACCCTATGTCCTAAACCCTATACCCTACATCCTAAACCCTCAACCCTACACCCTAAGCCCGTGTCCCCGAAGGCCATGCTGCAAAGCATGCAGCACGGTGTCGTCGCGTGGCACCGAGAGCGCCTGCAGGCACGGAAAGGCCAGGGAATCAAAACGAGTAGATTTCTAGAGTTGATTGCATTGCGTTGCCAATGGCAGCGGGAGTAAAACGTAGTAAAAAACTGTCCCCAAACCCTAAACCCTAAATCCTAAACCGCACATATCGCAATGCAAAAAACAGGCTTGAAGGCCTGCAGTACTGCATTTCGGCGATCGAAGGTCCGTGCTTCCTGCCCCATGCAGTGAGGAAACAAAGGGAATTAATATACAGACTGAAACCTGACGCCCAAGACCTGCCCCTTAAGCCGACCCTAAACCCCAAAACCCTACACCCTAAACCCAAAACCCCAAACTTTCCTAAACCCTNNCCTAATCCCTAAACCCTATAGATCCCAAAGCCCATCCCACAGCTCGGAAGACAGTCTGGTTCCCTGCTGGGGCTATATGAAGAACGATCACTTTTTAATCCTGACTGGGTCTTCTTCTGACAAAAATGAGTTTATGGTTAATCCAAATTGGGTCTTCTTATAGCAAGAACGATCATGTTTAATCCAGATTGGGTCTTCTTGTAAAAAATGATCGTGTTTAATTCTTATCCTTATTGGGTCGTACTATAACAAAAATGATCATGTCCAATCCTTATTGGCTTTTATTGTAACAGATATGTGAATTTGTAGCCAACAAGGACCCAGACAGTGGTGTCCCGCGACTTCAGCACTGCTGACGGCGTGTCGAAACCTCAGAATCGGGCTAAGCGAGATAAGGGCAGGGGCCTATAAGGGGGTTCAGGGTCTAGGGGTTTACGTTTCGGGGCGTGGGGTTTGAGATTTAATAAGGGTACGCCGCAAACCCTTCAAGGAATCACTTTGGAACCCCAGGAAAGCTTCTCGCAATCCGTTGCAGTCGTCCCTCCCAGGTCCCGGCGTTCATTCGTAAACCCTTATGGTAGCGGACCCCTTTAAACGCAACCCGCTGCTCTCTCCCCCCCCCCCCCCGCAAACCCTAAAAGCCTCTCTACAAGGAAGCTCTGAGGTCTGGGCGGAGAGCCAGATCGAGGAAATCGATGCAAGAGAAAACCCGCACAAGCTCGCCTACGAAGGGCGAACAAAAAGGGCTTAATCTTTCAGGTGGGTCTGGGTTTAGGGTTTAGGGTTCAGGATCTAGCGTCTAGAGTTTGGTTGAGGTTTTCGGGTTTGGGCTTTGCGGTGTAACTGTAGGAAGGCTAAACCCTAAACCCTAAACCCGAATCCCAGGCGTTGGCTTACAGTGCTGTGTAGTTTCCCTTGTGGTCCACAGCACCCGCTGACCCCGCGTGGCGATTTCAACGCCCGCCGCTCCTGGAGGGAGCTTGCCCGTTCGCTGCTGCGGCCGAACGCTGGCAATTTTCTTTCTCGCCTGGACGTTCGCTGCCTAGTGCCGACCGTCCCTGGCTACAGTTTTGGTGTATTTGAGGAGGTGTATGAGCCCGTTGGTGCTCTTGATCTCCATATTGGTGGGCTGCAGTGGCACCCACAACGAGGCGATTTCGACGGCCACCCAAGGAACCAGCTTGGCACCGCAGAAGCCGCAGAGCGAGGACCTTTGCGAGAACCTTAGTGCGTGCCGCGGCGTCAGGGTGGATACAGCCAGCGGCTTGGAAGCTCCGACTGGCGACCAGGTTGCTGCACAGTCACCACTCCAGCAGTATGACGAGCGAGCAACCATGGCAGTGCGCATGCGGAAACATGGTCAAAGCCACCGCTGCCTTCTGTGGGCAGTGTGGCTCTCAGTGGTCGTATACGACACCCGGTACGAGGCCACCCTGGCAACCCAGCTGGGACAATGTGACGTGGGAGAGGCGGATGGACTCTCCTCGCCGCCGCTCTGGTCAAGGAGACTGGGCGAAGGGACGCGGCAAAGGCAAGGATGCCAGATCGCCCCGAAGACGTGGGGGAGACAAAAGCAAGGGCCAGTCCAAAGGGCCTACCAAGGACAAACCGTCAGTCCCCACGGCGCCATCTGCTGGAGATCTACCCAAACCTCCTGCAGTGCCACCGACGCCTCTGCCCAAGGAAGGAACAACGGCGACACCGGCTTCGAGCTCTACGGCGGGCTCGCCGGCGGAGACTGCGCTCCAGGCACTTCTCCATGCTCTCAGTCGCAACCGGGACGAGCTGCCCGAGAACCTGAGGGAAGTCCTGGATACACATGCAGAGGCCGACCATCGTGCACAGACGAAATCCATGCACCGGCTCGTCGCGACTCAGAGCCAGGCCAAGAGGGAGCTTGCGGCGGCACGCAAGGCGCGTCAGGACTATCTGCGGGACTGGAGCAGTTACGTGGATGGCCTATGCAGTCTATGGCAGGGCCACATCGAGGAGAAAGCCAAGGCCATGGACGCGTTCTCAGAGGCCGAGAAGCAATGGGAACTACAGCTCTCGGGAGCTACCAATCAGCTCAAGCAGCTGGCAACCGAGGAGTCCAAAGAGACGATCGATGTCGAAGGCATGGAGGAGGACGAGGAGGAAGAGCTACTCTCGGACCTCGCGCAGCAGGATGCGCAACGACAAGTGGCGCTGGACAACATCGCCATGACGGAGCAGCGTATCTCGGAGAGCCTTCAAGAGGCCAGCAGATCCGCAGCCCAGCAAGTGGCCGCGTTCACGTCAGAGCGCGAGCGCTCGCCTCGACGGCGCGGCAATCAGCCGACCAAGAAGGAGGAGGTCAAGGAAGCTGGTGCTGCCAAAGGCAAAGCGGCCGAGCCGCCGCCCCCTGCCAGTGCCCCATAGTGAGCCGCAAGGGACCTATGGGGCTAGAAGCTCCCCTTCACAGGGTTGAGCCACTACGTCACACAATTTGCGGGGAACATGACTATGTCGACTGGAGGTTGGCACAGGTTCTGGGTCTTCGCGTGCACTACGAGGTACGCATGGAGCGGCTTGGGATTCGCAGCTCATGGGTACCAGATCCCCGTCAAGCGCAGGACCTTGGTCCGGATGAGACCTCCCGTCCTGAAGTGGCGAATGTCAGCTATCAAGGAGCCCTCGGAGACGCGCAAGGGCCCGCCTCTGTGGGAACAGTAGGCAGCTGCGAAGACGGTTGCTTACACAAACGCAAGCATCCTCTGCCTTTTAGAGTTGGCTTCGATGATGAGGAGACCGTCTTTGGCAACCGGTGGGCCAGGGACATCGCTCAGCTACCAACACGACACGGATGCCGCAAGGGTCTCGGCGCAACAGCACATCGTTGCGGTCTCGATGTGCGCTCTCTCACGTTCCGGGCTAATGGAAGCTGTATGGGAAACGGCACGCCTGACGAAGTGAGAGGTGCACTTGAGACTGCGGCGACAGCTGTTTCGAGCCGTGCCCGCTCACAGTTTGCGCCCTGTGGCGATGTACAGCCCTGTAAATCTGTACATAGTGTAGGCTGTCCCGTGCGCCTACCCTCTTTTCCTGTGACCAGCTCACTCTTCTATGAGCTCGGAGCGGACTTGGCATTTCAGGCACCCGGGTTTGGCTTCTCCTTTCCCCAGTCGCAGCAGATGCACCCTGTACGTGGGTAGCTCTGCAACAGTCCAAGGCAAAGGCGCTGAAGCAAGACATACATCTGAGGCAACAAAGGTAGACCGTCCTGTGCGCCCCTTGCAAGCCCAGATGCCCACCCAGGTATCCTCTGAGCCATGGGCGGGGGCTTTGTCTCAGGCACCTTGGCTCGGTCCCGCAGCCGCCCGATCGCAGCAGATGCACCCTGTTGGTAGCTCTGCAACAGTCCAACACACATGCAGGTGCTGAGGCAAGACAGGCATCGACAACAGGCGCAGGCTGTCCGGCGCGAACCCTGACAACACAGATGCCCACTCAGGCCTTCCCCAAGCTTGACGCAGAGGGTTTGTCTCAGGCACACAGGCCAGGTCCCTTCACCGCCCGGTCGCAGCAGAAGCACCCTGTTGGTAGCTCTGCAAAACTTCACGGCACGGGCGCTGAAACAGGACACGCATTTGGGGCAACAGATGTAGACCGTCCTGCGCGCTCCCCGCCAGCCCAGATGCATCTCCAGGTTTCCTCTGAGCCATGGGCCGGGACTCTGTCTCATGTACCCTGGCTCGGTCCCTCAGCCGCCCGATCGCAGCAGATGCGCCCTGTTGGTAGCTCTGCAACAGTCCAAAGCACAGATGCTGAGGCAAAACAGTCACCGGCAGCAATAGGCACAGGTTGTCCTGTTCGAGCCTTGACAGCACAGATGCCTACTCAGGCCTTCCTCGAGCTCGGCGCAGAGGTTTTGTCTCCTGCACACAGGCTAGGTCTCTCCTCCGCCCGGTCGCAGCAGATGCACCCCGTTGGTAGCTCTGCAACAGTCCCAGGCAAAGGTACCGAGGCAGGCCAGATCCACGTCAATGCGACCGCTGGGTGGCCTCCTGGCGGCGACATAGCTGTACGGGACGCAATTTATATGCCGGGCTCGGCCCCGCGAGGAACAGGAAGGCAACCAGGCATGATTAGCGATCTGCAAGCTATGATTGCGTCTCATGTGCCACTCCGGCCCAGCTGGCTACAGGGGCCGCTACTGCACATGTCCCCCTTCGGGGCCAGGTGGCTGGCTGACACCCTGTCAGATACGCAGGAGCGAGCTTGTGGCTGAACCCCGGGTAGATTACCTCCGTAGGGCGGCGCTTGCGCAATGGTCGTTACTCGACTATATCGCCGCTGCTACTAGGGCGGTGTCGTACAGGGTGAGATTAATTTGGTATGTCACGCACCCGCTCCCTGATCTCCCCACACCGCAACTCGTCTTGACACCAGCCAGCGCGCAGCCAGGTCTGCGAGCATTGCCAGTCGATCTCAGGCCATTTGGTGGCATGCTCCACACCATTGAGCTTGCTGTTCCTGGGCCCTTAGATGGCATCTGGGACGAGCTTCGCCGTGACAAAGGAGTGGACCCGGATGGGATTCTGCAAAGGGCCTATCATGAAGGCCTCTGCATCTTCACGGACGAGCTCGACAATGAACTCAGACATCTTGATGACCAGCCTAATTCACCTGAATGGCTGAGTATTAGGATGCGAGACCCGGCAGCGCTGGAGACGCTCATTGTGCAATATGTCGGGGGTCAGGAGCAGGTCCTCCGTGTGCCTAGGGCGCCCCCGGTTGCCTGCCGCAGGTCAACCTCCCTCCACTACCACCACGACCTGGGTGATGGGTGGAGAAGCCACTTCCACCACAACTTTGCCCCCGGCACTGACAGCACCCGATACGATCCCCACTGCGCCGCCGGCGGAGCCCCCCTCACTCCTTACCAAGGTCCACCCGACCTTGGCACTGGCGGAGGCCGGAAACTACAAGATAGAAGAGGGGCCGATCCTGCTGCCTGCCTACCTGGCAATGCCTGGCAACTAGGTCCGAGGACGCGCCCGTGTGTATCTTCTCATGGGGGGGAAGCGACGGAGACAGGGACGATGCATTTACCGTGTTTGACGAGACCAGGCACTGGACTCTGCACCGTCGCAGCCCGAGGGACTCTCTGCAGACCATCGTCAGAGCTGCAGTGCGCAGCGCACCATTCACGGTCCGGTCGGTGCAAGTCCTCACGGTGCCGCTCACTGGACTTCCCCGCCCGCAGCTCATACTCGACATGATCCCCCCCCTTTTGTCACCGATCCCATGGGACTTACGTCCCATAGGGGGTCCTGTCAGGACGATCGGGCACATGCCAGGCGAGAGCATCATATCCTGCGCTACCAAGATTCAAAGTGCCCAAACAGAGCTGCCACAATTGCGCGACGACATACTGACGAGTCAAGTCGCGGTCCTGGACGCACTCGGATTCATAGGGACCTCGCTCCCACCAATCTTGGAGCAGGTCCAACATCTACGAGTGGAAGAGACTGCCTCAAGATTCACCATGCCTCTGGACGGTGTCGCTGGAAGCAACCCACACAGCTTTGAGGATGGTCCGACTTCCACCACTTCCACTACCTCCACTGTGGCCGGCCAAAATCTCGTGTTCCGGCTCACTGTTTTGTGGGGCCGACATGTTGCAACCGCTGATGTCAGGCCACCATGCCTCCAGCTTGATGCCATTCTGCAGCGCCTGCTTTTTGAGGTGCTCTCATGTAACCCGGGGCCGGCACCCATGCACGATCTCTACCTGGGGCAGCCTGCCCCGGTGGACGGTCCTGCAGGAAATTGTGTTTGTCGTTGCGGGCCCCGACTTTGCTACGCACCCGACAATAGTGGTGGATGAGCGCATTGGTGGTCACCCCTTGCATGCTGAACGCCTGGCTCCGGGCATACTATGCGAAAGTCTGGTGCACCCAAACTGGCGGCCGCGTGGCGTCTTCACTATTGCCAACATGGCGCCGTCTTATGCTGCCCCTAGACCGGCTACCATGGGTGACTACCTCCAGTTCGGCGTTCAGAGTTGGTTGCCAGCGGCTGTCCCTACTACGCTGCTCATTCAGCACATGCCCGCCCTTGCCCCCTACACATGGCCGATCTTTGCGGGCGCCGAAGCGTTTCAGATTGAGCTTGTGGAGCAGGCACGCAATAGGAGGCGTTGCCAGGGCCTCTGGCGACATCAAGAGGGACTATGCGAACTGCTGGGGCCATCCCACGGCCCGGTGCACTTCCGAATCGGGAGCCCTGTGGTCCCAAACTTGCAAGAAATGCAAGCCGGCCTTGAGCTCCTGGATGATTTGTGTCCAGCGCGGGGCCTGCCGTCAGTTGAAACCAGGCTCATCTCTCCGCTCCGCGCGACCTTTGTCACGGAGATCCCCCGTTCCCCCTACTGCACTGTCTTGCTCCCCTTCGCAAGCACGCCGGCGCATCATATCGTCCTCCTCGTGTTGCCCACTGCTATGCAGATGGGCCCCCTGCCCGTGCCAGATGGCTCACTCTGCAGACGGCCGCGTAGGCAATGGACAAGTGGGGATGCGATAGAGGTTTTCTCCGTAGCTGCAGAGGCGCGCAGCACATACAACGAGATGATGGCAAGGCAAACCCCGCTCTCCACCCCGTGGCTATGGTGGCAACAAGGGCCTACTGCCTCGACTCCCCAGGATGAACACCATCCAGATGCACAACCCAGTGGAGCTGAAGGCCCGTCAACGCCAATGTCGACAAGCTCTCGCGACCACAGAGCCAGTTCCGGGGATCATGGTTTGCGTGATGGGACGTCTCTTGTGCACATCCCCGACCCAACTCATGCACGGAAGTTGCGTTGCAAACAGGCTATGCAAAAGGAGGTGCCACTCGACGGCTGTGCTGAGCTTGGGTTCCATACCGTCCCCACTCCCTTTGGAAGGCGGCAGCTCCCGGATGGTTCGACAAGTGCGCGCCCGCCCGCGAAGGCCCCACGTCAGCAGTTGAAGGCGGTTCCCTGTCGATCCTTCCTGCTTTTCCGTGCGCTTTCCCTACTACTCTGGAGGAGGATTCGCTGCAACGGCAGAGCACAGAGACTCCGCAAACTCAAGCCGAGCCCGGCCATCCCTGCACCCCAGGGCAAGAACATGTGGCGAAGGAGGCTGACACCGCCCAATCGCCAGCCATTACACTCTGCCTACAGCAAGCAATCGAGCCGCCCACATCTGCCATCTCCTGGGAGGTCAATCAGGATATCGTTGCCGAGGCGCTGGGAGGACACTGCCTGACAGATCTACTCCCGGATCTGCCGAGACCGCTGGCCAATTCGGCATGGGGTAGAATCTGGAAACAGCTTCCCTCATTCTGCCCTTGCCAGTCCATGCAGGCTGTCTATCTGTTCACAGACGGGTCGTACTACCCGGGCAGGGAAAGTGCCTCGTGGGCCGTGGTGGCCCTGGTCTTGCAAAACGACCAGATACACAAAGCTGGTGTACTAGCAGGCCCCTGCGTCTTGCACCCGGAGGCAACTGCAGGGCACTGTCCTTCCGCGTACGATGGGGAGCTAGAGGCCTTGCTGCATGCCCAAGCAATCGGCATCTCTGCGTCAACAAGCGAATGCCACTTCGGATCTGACTGCCAATCGGCTCTTGCTGTAGCCTTTGGTTTCTGCAGCTTCAAGGCCGGGTCACGACTGCCGGCTGCAGCAATAGGTTTGGCAGCTGCCCTTACGGCGCAAGGCAAGCAGCTTCTGCTCCACAAAATCGAGGCGCACAGCGGTTGCGCTTTCAACTCGCTTGCGGATGAAATTGCCAAGCACGCAGGCACAACAGGCCAATCCCTTCCGGATTCAGCAGACTGGAGCTCCTTGCAGGCCGCGGTGACGGAGACGGTGTTAGAGCGGGCCTGGTTAGCAACTCCCGACTCTGTCTTTGCTGCCACGCTGCCCCCGTTGCAAGTTGATGGCACTTGGTCCAAACCCAATGCCGAGGTGCGCAGCTCCGCGCCCAATCTGCTCCCCCCCTACCTATGTAAGGTCACAGGCGAGGTGCAGACGGTTGCCCTGGACTTGAGGCTCCTCACATACAACGCTCTTTCAGCGCGAGGAGCAACAGCCCGTGCCCTAATTTGTACGGGCCTACGCAAGCACCGTATCGATTTGGCAGGTCTGCAGGAGACCCGGGACCGGGCTGATGGCATCTCTAGCTGCGAAGATTTTTGGGTCCTCGCTGCCTCTTGTGACAAGGGGGGACACTTCGGGATCCAGCTTTGGTTACGAAAAGCAGCAGGCTGGGATCGCACTAGCTTTGCCATCGTACATGCCGACCCCCGGGTCCTTATTGTCGTCTGCACTATCCGGGGTGTCAAGCTCGTTTTGGTGTGTGCCCACGCGCCCACTTCTGTCACGGGCGATGAAGCCATCGGAAGGTGGTGGTCCCACTTGACGAGACTTCTAGCTAAAGTCCCCAAAGTCTGCGCGCCGCTCCTCTTCATCGATGCCAATGCGCGCTTCGAGCCGCACTCCTCCCACAGGCATACGCTGGACGCGGCGCCAAGCAATCTCAACGCGACTTGCCTGCGGCAATTCGCGGTCGACATGGGACTTCATCTCAGTGCACAGCAAGATGAGCAGGGCCGACCTCTCCACTCTTGGCGCAGTCCAAAAGGTACCACCAGCCTGATTGACTATGTCGGCTGCCCTATCGATTGGAAGAACGGCCACTCCACCATAGGTAACGTGGATCTGGCAGATCTCCACGCAGACTGGGACCATCTCCCAATCCACACCCGCCTATGTGCACATATAGAGACCACGGTCCCTCCCAGCCGCACCAAGATTGCTCCGAAAGATCTTCAAACTGAGGAGGGGCAACTTAGGGCAATACATGCAGTCACTTCAGCCCCCCTTGTGCCATGGACTGACACGTGCACTACTCATGTGGAGACCCTACAGAGCTCGATGATTCGCTCTATGCAGGGCGGGCAGCATTCGGCCCAGCCCGCAGCACGCAACCCGGCGATCTCACAGGCCACTCTCGGGCTAATACGGTTGCGCAGACACATGCGGCGCTGCCTCAGGACTGTCAACCGCAGATCGGACATGGGCTTCTTGCATTTGTGCCTGCAGGCGTGGAAGCATGGCGCTCATCCTCCACAGGAGTTCTATAAAGAGGCCAAAACTGCCCGACTTAACATGGCGCGCAGCTACCATGGGCTGGCTGTCGTTGACAAGCAGCTCCGACAGGCTATGATGCATGATCGGGCCCAGTTCGCCAGGCGCCAAACCGAGCAATCTCGACAGGCAGGCCCGGCGGAGTTCGCCCATCGTATGCGTGCCATTCTGCGCACGGGGCGCAAATTTCGTCCCCCTCCCCTGCTTCCGGCACTGACCAAGGAGCCCGAGGCACCATGCCTGGCTGACGATGTCAAGGATACCTTTGCCAAGCACTTCGCCATTGCCGAGCGAGCTGTTGCTACTGAGGTACAAGGTCTTAACACTGAGGTCAGTGTCGCCCGCCCCAGTAACAGTCACGACGGGACAGCTGTGCCCTCCATAGCTGCACTGACAAATGGCTTTGCTTCGCTCAAGCGTTCCAAGGCGGCTGGGCTGTCAGGGCTGCCCTCCGAAGCCTTTCTTGGCGCACCCCTGACCGCGGCGTTACGCTACTGGCCCGCGATTGCCAAAGAGCTCCTCCGGGACCGCACGGCAATTCACTGGCGCGGGGGCGAGGCGATTCCAATTCCCAAACCCTCAAAAGCCCCCGACGCCTGCACGGGGTACCGACCCATAGCCCTGCTTGAGACCGATAGCAAGGCGGTGCAGAAAGCCATGAGGCCATCTGTGATTCATGCCCTGCAGGCCGTGCAAGTCTCAGACCAGTACGGCGGGCGACCTGGTTGTACCCTGGGGCTCCCCATTGCATGTGTCAAGGCTCACTTTGATAACCTAAAGAGGGCAGGCAGGTCAGGGGCCGCTATGTTCTTTGACTGCACTACCGCTTATTATGCGGTCATCAAGGACATGCTGACCCTGACGGACGAGCAAAGAGCGGACACTCACCTGCTCGCCTGCCGTGCTCGTCTCCTCTTCCCCGACACCACTCAGCAAGAGTCATTCCTGCGCCACATGAGGGCTGGGGAGTTGGCCAACGCGCTCGGTGCCACACCGGAGCTACGTACGCTCATCCGTCAGCACCTTACCGACACGTGGTTTGTGTGCCGCCAGGGTACAGGGCAGGTATTCAGGTCGGAATGCGGAACCGTCCCAGGTGCCCCACTTGCCGATGCCCTCTTCAGCCTTGTCTTCGCAGGCGTTCTACGCGAGGTCAAGATGCATTTGCGTGACAAAGGCTGGGAGCCACACTTCTGCAGGAAACAACAGGGGACAGGCAGTACGCCTACGTGGGCAGACGACACATGCGCCCTCATCTCGACTACAGAGGCTGCAGAAGTCGTGCCGGCCATCCAGGCCGTCACGGACGTCATGGTCAATTGTATGGCGTGCGCAGGCCTCTCTGCCAACTTCGGCGCTGGCAAGACGGAGGCCATGGTCGCGTATCATGGTCGCGGCTCCCGCGCTCCGAAGCTGGACGTACTCTGCAGCACGGAACCCACGGTTGTCTTGCCAGCTACTGCACAGTCCGGGCACATCCGGGTAGTGCCCGAATACCTCTACTTGGGCATGCTTCTACGTGCAGATGGCCAAGAACTACCTGGCCTAAAGCATCGGCGTACCCAGATGCAGGCTATTTTCCAGCCCCTGCGGGCCAAGCTACTCTGGAATACCTGCCTGTCCAAGCGGGAGAAACTTGACCTCCTCCGTAGCAGGGTGTTAAGCCGCTTTCTCTACGGCGCCGGGCATTGGCTCTTGCGCACCGAACAGGAACAACACCTGTTCCACGAGGCCATCTCAGGTGTGTATCGTGGCTCTTTCCGGGCGGTTCTGGGGGTCTCCTCTTGCCGGTTTACGGGGATAGAGGTTGCGTCGGCCCTAGAAATGCCGCTGCCTGACGAGTGGCTAGCCACCGAGCGGGCCAAGCTACTGACCCGGTTGTGCACCCATGGGCTATACGGAGTCCTGGAAGAGTTGCATCAGGAGACCGAATGGTGGCGATCGGCATGCGGTTCGTTGTTCCGGATGCAAGTGCTTGCGAGCGAGGCTCCCTGCCCTGCGGACCTGCATTGCCAGCTGGCAGGTCAGGATGTCAAGGTGCGCAATGCATGCCGCCTCTTTCTCCGGGCAGCCTGTAAGAAGCGACGCATGCCGCCGGAGGCCATTAAAGCCCGGGCCAAGGAGCCCCCCGTACAGGTCTTCGCCCCGAAGTGTGCCAGGTTGCCATTCGCGTGTGAGGTCTGTGCCAGTGCTTTCCGCTCGAAGCGGTTGCTTGGCATACACCGGGCCAACTCGCACGGACTTCGGGCAGAACACCGCCTTGTGGCGTTCGGCACAGCGTGCCAGGTGTGCGGAACAGAGTTCTGGACGGAGGCTAGGCTCTCGGGTCATTTGAAACATGCGGACCAGTGCAGGACGGTATATCGCGAGTCCGACATCGCGTGTGCCGCCAATGTTGCCCCTTTGAGCAAAGGAGAACACGCCTGGGTGCCTTCCACGGTCCTCGCCCGTGGTGGGCAACTCTTCGCCCGAAGGGCTAATTTTATATCAGTTTCGGCCCCTTGGGCCTATCTGAGGCGCGTTCTGCAAGTAGCGCTTTTGCCTCTTGGTTTTGCAAGCGAATTCATCTCGCGCGACATGCACTAGTGAGCCCCCTGAAAAAACCCGAATCCCTGAGCCCTAAACCCTAAACCCTAAACCCTAAACTCTAAACCCAAAGCCCTGAGGCCCTGAACCCTTAGGGTTTGCGGTTTCGGGTTTCGGGGGTTTTGGGGCGAGGCTGCGGGGTCTGGAGTTGGGGCGTTCGGGTGAAATGCATGCGCCTTCTGCATCAACCAATGGAACTCGGTGCACCTGAGGCTCAGAAAGAGGTGTTCAGGGTTTAGGGTTTAGGTTTAGGGTTTAGGGTTTAGGGTTTAGGGTTTAGGGTTTAGGGTTCTTAAACAAACGCAGAAGGGGAGAACCTTAACCTTGGATCTTTTCCGAGCTCCGCACCACATTGCGACCTTCTCCCGGGCGGCTGAGCCTTCGCAAACGATGGTTTCTTCGAGCCTAAGCCCCAAAAAGGGTTTAGGGTTTAGGGTTTAGGGTTTAGGGTTTACATCCTCTCCGCCCCTAAACCACTACATCCTCTAAACCCCTAAACCCTCGAAACCCCAAACCGGAAACCCTACCCTAAACCCGAAACCCTACCTCAAACGCTTACACAAGCCTTATAGATCCATGGTGAATCCCGTACTTGGAGGATCGGGAGACTAGCAAACAAAGGTTAGGAAGTACCTTACTTAGGGCTATAAGGACCTATACGTACAGTTTTACCGTATACATATATATATATATATGTGTATTCATTTATTTATAGATACACCCTAAACCCTAAACCTTAAACCTATAGATACGTGTCTATATATATATATATACAAAGAGAGACCTGGCTACTAGGCCCCATGATCCTTGGGAGCCTTCAGATCCATAAACCCGAAACCCTTTACGGAACTTTTCGGGAAGCCTTTCAGGAACGCTGTAAGGGAACTTTTCAGGAACCCTGTAAGGAACCTTAACCCTAAACCCTGTAAGGAACCCTTCATGGAATCCTTTAAGGAACCCTTTAAGGAACCCTTTCA